GCAAAATGATTAGAGCAAAAATGTTTCCAGCAATGCAGCATCCAAAACCAGAGGGAAAAATTAAATAAATAGATGAAATAAAATAATCCATCCGTTATAGTGACCCTCTGTAGTTTGACACAATTTCATGACTAGAAAATAGAGAGACAGAGAAGATAAAGTGAAATAAGTAGTAGGACTAAAAGAAGGTGTCATAAAGAAAAAGAAAAACTGAAATAAACAAGGAAAGAAAAAAAGAGAAAAGAAAAGAATAAAGTTTTGAAGGAAAAACATTAAAAGTGGTGAAAATAAGAAAAAAAACTTAAAAAATGAAAGGAGAAATAGAAAAAGGAAAATAAATAAAAATCAGCAGTAGGTTCCCCCATGTGTTGCTCTGAGGAAGAGCAGCACCTCTTCCTCAGGGCAGAGGTGTTGCTCTGACTTCCTACTGTGGAGGACTGAATACACAGAAGTGGAAGTTGTGAGTGACTTGAGTAAAGACTTTAGAAATTTAGCTGCATTTGGAGGAAGAGGCTAAATCAAGGGATGAAGAAAAATGATCTGTTTCTGAAGAAGTGCAACAGATCAGCAGTCAGAAGATTCAAATGAACCTAAAAGTGACCAGATTACTTCCAGAGTTCATCTGTGTGTATGAATGCAGTTGTTTTCTGTATTATTTTACATTAGAGAATAATCACTGTCACAGCAGACAGATGTCTCTTAGTAACACCGTGTCTTCCTCCTGGTATCAATGATTTTCTAACTTGTTTCCAGTTGTGAAAGCCAGAGGAGGAGGCGAGTCTTGCTTTGTCTCAGACTAAATGAAAAAAAGGAAGCTATCCATGTTGTTAGTGATGGATCAGACATAGCTGGGGTTAAGTGGAATGAAATGTGTGTGCAGATGACCAAGTTTTGTAGCCCAAAAGCTGAACACGGTGATAGAAAACCTGCTGCAGCTGCTTGCTAACCACTTATGAAGAAGCAGGAAGATGAAGGTGAGAATATCAAGCTGTTCCCTTCATTCTGCTCACTTATTAAACTCTTCTGAAAGCAAGAGATCAATATGAAAGCATGCACAATATAAGCATAACAAGACATTTTATAAGATCTTCTGCTCCAAAATGTCACAGTAAAAGCAATTGTAGCAAAAACATACAATTGTGAAATTCAGAGAATCTGACAAGGTCCAAACATCTGGCTGAGAAAACAAGATGTTCTTTTCAACAACATGCAGAGCCTCGAGGCTTTTAAAAGAAATTTCACCATTTTTGTTAATATTAGGTAGATTTTGAATCTGGTTATAATTGATATTTTCATATTTCTACTCAAAGGCAAATTCAGAATGTAATTATCTTAAACTTTGTTAGTTTCACTTTGCACTAAATCTCACCAGACTTCAGTCAATGAAGTTTCTTTAAAACTACAAGACAAAACAATGATGATCACTAGAATCACCATCAGAACCAATCAATAAGTAATTCCTCCACATGTCCTTTTCTAGTCGCACAGACACATTTTGGTACACTCTGTACTTTAGATTTAATTGCGAGTGCTTTTGACTTTTTCTCCACTACATGTCACATTAAGTATCTGTACTTTCTACTTTACTACGTTTCTATGAGTTGTTGCATTACACATTACTCTCATGTCACATTGCAACTCCATGTGGCTCAAAACATGGCTGCAAGTTTGAAAATTGTGTCAGTAAATTAAAATATTGTTCACTTGACCCATTAAAAAATACAAAAGTGTTTTTTTTAACTTGTTGACATTTGGAGTTAAAATGTGAGTGTCTTTTCAGGCAGACAACACCTCAATGTGTTTACTGCAGTTTAAAAACATATTGATTTTGCTTTGTATAAAATAAAAACTTTCCAGGAATAATATTTCTTATTTAACTTTACAGCATTTAACTCTGCAGGTCATCCCAGAAACTCTGATGCACATAATTGCAGGTCCAAGTGTAAAATATAAACCTTTTAAAAAGGTTTCCTTTAAATTGCTTCTTTATTTGAAGTAAACTAGATGATTTTTGTAAAACACATTACACATTTGTTCAAACTATCACTATGTTATGAGACAGACAGTCTGTGAAAAGCTCCATCTCCTTCACCTCCTGCCTGAACTACATCTGCTGTTTGAAGACGCTCCACTCTGATCTCAAACAACCAATCACAGCCAGGAGGCGTGTCTTATCACTGTCAATCAATCTCATGTTTTCTATTAAATTTATTAATAAAGAAACAACTTACTGCTACAGGAAAGCTGTTCACTCACTCTCATTAGTGGTTATGCTGACTAGTTTGATCAGGGCCGGTCAGTCCAAGCCTCCATGGGGCCCTATGGGAAAATGTGGTTTTGGGGGCCTCTCGTTCTGCTAACAATGTGGACTGGCTGCAGTCAGCAGTCTGATCATTAGATCATTCACACACCTACAATAAACTTATTGCTTCTCTGGCAGTGGTGTTTACATTTTATACATGTATAATATAGAATACATATATTGGCCGACTGATTTTTCAACCAGTTGATTTCTGGGTGTCAATTTCCTTAAATTTGGGGGAATCGTGATCAGCCATCTTATCCCATCTTATCCTCTGGTCTTATCTTTGTCAGCAAAGGTTTATAAAGTCAGTCTCTGTCCTCTGCTGCTCTGCAGTGAAAGGTGAAGGGTTAGACTGACAGAGTGGCTCACCAAGTCAGGTCTGTACGTTGTTTGCAGTTAACAATATTCACCCCTTGTTGCCAACTCACTGACTTTCTTGCTATATTTACCAACATTTCAGACAAAAAAATTTCATATCAGTCAAAATCAAAATCAGCAAGTCAGGTTCTTTAAAGATCAGTAACCAGGGATTGGCCAGAAAACTGCAATCGGTGCAGCCCGACAATGTATTTATGACATTTTTGATTTAATAAATTTCTCTTACCCTACAATAGCTAATATTTAATTTATACCAGGTCAGTCTTTCTCCCCCCTACAATGTGGACCGGTACCGGTACTGGACTGATTCTGAGCCTTCAAATAATTTTAACAGAAGTTTCACATAACTTAGACGTTGATGTAAAATTAATGTTTTTGTTAGCCACATAAATGATTATGCTCAGCAGCAAACAACATATCTCAACTAAAGCATAGAACACCTCATCGATGGTATAGCCTGAAGAAAAGATATTTTGCAATGTCAAAGAAACAATGTCAAACATTGAGAAGTTTTAACTATTGTTATCAAACACAGCGGTTTGAAACCAAAATACCTCAGAAATATACAGAGCCTACCATGAGAATCAACTCATTTAAAGTTTAAACTCCGTTTCACCCCAACCCCAAACCAAACCCTAACCCTATCCCTAACCCTAACCCTAACCCTATCCCTAACCCTATCCCTAACCCTAACCCTATCCCTAACAAAGACTCATTGCTGAGTAGCCAGAGGAGCCACAACATTTGGACCGAGCCTTATTTAGTGTGCCTTGCCTGAAGAAGACCTACTGAGGTCGAAACGTCGCTTTTGGCACACGTTAGTTTATTGAATTAAAAAAATACAGACAAGAAATTTTTTTTCTAACAATTATTTTTGGATTCATTTTTTTATTTCATTTTTTCACTTTTATTTATCCTTCTAAAAAATATAAAAAGAATAAAAAAATTCATAAAACAAATAAATCACTAAAAAAATTAAAAAATTAAAAAATCTTTCAAAAACACAATAACAACCTAGTAGATAATAATAATACATAAACATATTATATATAAACATAACACATATATTTCATATTTTATTGTCTAAGTAATAAAGCCTAGTGGGCTACGGTCTTTAAAAAGATAAAAACATAAACATAAATGATGTGGCCAGGAGATGACTGGCAGGTGGTCCGGTACGGGAGGAGACACAGGGAGCGTCCACCTACCGAACCACGATTCAGTGGGACGTGGGGAAGGAAGGAGCGTGCACCCCCTGTCTTCAGTGGAGGACAGGCTCAATCCTTTGTTCCTAACCCTATCCCTAACCCCAGCATAAATGTTTGGCTGTTGAACTTGACTGTTCCAGGTCACTAACAAGCTAATTTTCTATTAGCCTATAGCTTTACAAATTTTTTACATTACTGTACATTACAATACGTTACACAACATTACCAAGCCACATTAAAACAAACCTTTATCTTGGCTTTTTTTCTTCCTCTTTCTTTTCTCCCTCCCTGAAGGATAAGTCCTTTTTTGAGACATTGTTTTGCTAACATAACTTCTGACCGGCGCTTTGGACGTTTGGATGCTCTGCACAGCAGCTCGTTACTGGCAAAGCATGTGGTACCTAACGTGGCCACTAGAGGGCCCCAAGATCAATTTATTGATTCATTTTTATCAATAAAATAATGATTTCTACATACATTATCAAATATATATTATTGTAAAAAACAAATCAGTTCATAGTGAACTTGTGTGTGATATTATAATGACAGAGAAATTATAAAAAAAAAAAAAAAATAGTTCCACACTGGGGGGCCCCTTAGTGGACTTGGGGCCCAAAGGCTGCTTAGTTTGCTTGTGCTTTGGGCCGGCCCTGTGTTTGACCATTTGCGACAAGCTATGCTAGCTGCATCCTGGAGAGCAAGGAGGTGAAGGGGAGACAGTTTTAACAAATATGCAAAAAGAAAAAGTTTTCTAAAGGTTCCATAAGAACCTTTAAGTGTCTGAGGACTAAAGTTCCCAACAAACATCTGATACCAGAAACAAAACAGCTTTAAAATGTGTGAAAGTTTAAGAATTTACAACCTTTAGGTTTGTGTGTTTTCATTAAAACACAACAGTTTCTTTAACCTTCACTGCCTGTCAGTCAGTCAGAGCGGGATGCTGTTAGACACGTGACGGTGACTGGGAGTGTTACTGGTGTGTTACTGGGAGTGTGTTACTGGGAGTGTGTGACCTGGTGCGTGTTACTGGGAGTGTGTTACTGGGAGTGTGTTGTCCTGCCAGAGAGGGCGTGGGCCAGAACCACGCCCTCTTTGGCTGACACACCCAGCCTGCGTGACTCACGCTGTAACTCTACACCCGGTTCGGTTCGGCTCGGCTCGGCTCAGCGCAGGGAACTTACTGGCGGCCACAAACCGTCGGAGCTCACGCGAACTGGATCAAAACCAGTAAAGACTTGAGTCCCAACACCAGGCTTCAGGATGAACTTTTGTCTGCGGATATTTTCCCTTGTTCTGCTCGTCACTGCGACATTCACGCAGGATGATGGTGAGTTTGCTGTTGGAAACTTTGAGTCTCTTTGTTTGTGGGATGCAGAACGTTTCAGTCTGTTCAGACACACACACACACACACACACACACACACACACACACACACACACACACACACACACACACACACACACACACACACGCAGACAGACAGACAGACAGTGTGTCCGTCAGAAACTTTTATTATCTCAGAGTCGCAGAATGAAGAATGGAGGAAGTGTTAGTTTTCCATCAGTTTTGCTCTCAGCTTCATGCTTCAGTTTTTACAGGTTACATAAATAAAACCACTGAATTGAATAACATCAGTGCATCAACATGGATTACAGTAACACAGCAGCTCCCAGTAGAACAGGAGGATTTAGTATCTGGAGATTTAGTTGGGAGAGTTTTAGTGTTTTGTTCATTCCAAAGCAGAATTTTGAAGTGCAGCCATTTTCTAGTTCATATTGTTATCTGATAAATTACACGCTGTTTGATGTGTTGTGTCTTTTGATATTTTAATCTAATCTCAAGTGTCAGAAGATTGGGACGGATCTTTATTGGAGTCACAAACTTTAAGAATTGAGTTACAAAGTTCCATTTTCAAAGTGAATTGTTAAAAAGTTGTAAAGGTTTATTTCTGATGAGATGAACACAGATCTCTGAATCATCAAATGAAGCACATGACCCTTTAATCTGCGGAAGCATTTAGGAGGAAAATGATTTATTCATCAAAAGTATATTTAAGTTTTTGTACAGAAGAGTTTTGTGTGCAGCTCTTCATTTGTTAAAGGACAAAATGGAAAGAGTTTACAGGTGATCTAGACTAGATGAGTCATGGATCATTCATGAAGCTGAGAGAATAGTTGAGTTTGTTCTTTGTGTCATCAGCATGCTGCCAGAGCTGACATTCTCTGACAATATTTCTTCAAAAAGATATTTCTGCAGGTAGGAGCTCATATCGTCTGTTAGAGGTTCCCGGTTGGTTATGTCTTCACAAGCTGGAGCTAAAAAACATTTTAGTGTCTGACATGGTGAACTGTGACTGTTTTGGATTCTTTGTCATAAGAAATAAAACCTCTGAACTCACAAAATCTGCATAGTCAATAAGTTATAGAACAAGTCTAATATTACAGCTGCTATGTCTCACAAAACCATATATTATATTATTAATAATTTATCAGCTTGAGGCTTAGAGGGATAATGACTTCCTTCAGTAGATTTCTCTGGACATTTGGATGTCCATGGATGTTAACCTTTGTTTTCTGTTTTATTGGGGGAAAGATATGCATCAATTAAAACACTTTTTAGGTAAATCAATCAAATTAGTCTTAATCATGACATTTCCTATAAAAGCTGGCAATACATTTACAGAGGGTCAGCACTGAAGTTCATCCAGCTTTCCTTCTATTGACCGCATACATGCTGCTTCAGAAAGATCTCAACTGATCGTTTATCCAGGTATATTTTGCAGTATTTACGATATTTTTGGATTTTAATTTCTCTGTATGTAAAACTGGATATTTTTTGTTGGCTTGTCTTTATTCAATTCTCCTTTATTTAAAGATTAATAATGATTAATGGAGGAAAAGAGTAGTTCAATTTTTGGAAATAAAGTGTGTTTCAAATCCATAACAATTAGGAACAGAGGATAAAAGAGAGATAAGCTTCTGGTGAAGCTGATATTTGAAATGAACCTCTACATTGAAAGAGACGGACTGAAATCTGGTGAAACCTAAAGGAGAGCAAAGCAATAATGTCCTCTGTGCAGCTGAAAGGCTATTTTTCTTTCAGTCTTACTTTTGGACAGATGTTATGATGTTTAATCATGGATTAACATTAAATTTTGTTAGAATTATTTTTGAATTGAATTAAATTCAGCTTTGTGGTGTTAGTAGCTTCTGCTACTCTGAATCCAAGGTTATCTGTTAGAACATTGCAGTCAGTTTCTCCATCTGTATAGATTCTGTTTCAGTTGTTTCTCTTTGGGGTCGAGATTTCTTTTAGAAATTTGTACTGTTTTTGTGGACTGTCTTCTAGGTGCTTTATTATTAGCTGCAGTGGAGGGAAATGCTTTCTGCTTAAACTTCTGGATTACATCACATCTTTAGCTAAGGTTTACCTTAACACCAGCTTTTTAATAATCTATTTGAAAGATTCCAGCTACTGCAAGAAAGTGCTCTCTTACAAGCCCACCATCTTGGTTTTCCTCATGCTTCATTTATCCTTTGGTCAAAGCCAAAAGGCTGAAGACGAGGCTACAGTCAGTTTTTATTTCCTTGTTTGAGACAAGCCCCATAATGAAAACATGCAACTCCTGTGTAAATGTTGTTTAAAAAGTTTTGACAGTAGATCTGGAAATCAAGATATTTACAGTGAGGCAAGTTTCTCAAGATTTGAACATTATGGATCTCTAGGCTTCTGCCTTGTCTTTCCCCTGGAGCTTGATCCCAGCATGTTGCTTGACCGGTTTTTGCATTTGCTTGGAACAATAAAACTGTCATATGTCTACTACAGAGGAATACTCATGAGTTTTGAACTGCATAACATTTTCATGACATTTTCCACCTGCTGCTATAGAGGCACGCCCAACCGTCCAAACATGTGAACAGTCCGTGGAAACAAAGCAGCTGCCTTTAAGTTCCCTTTGGGATAAATAAAGTATTTTTGATTTTGAATTTAATTGAATTTATTCAGTAGAACATCTGAAAGAAGTGTTCAAGCATCCCCAGACTTAGGTCACCCTGTCGCACCTTCATCTGCAATCCAATCTAAAGACCAGGACCAAAGCAGCTCTGTGATCATGTGAATAATTAAATATAATGTTGGAGATTCTGATCCATTACATGCACCATTGAGCACAGGACTTACACATGACACATAGAAATCAATTTGAAAAGTGACTGCACTTTTGTCTTAACATGTCACAAATGTGACATTATTTAATTTACATTAAATCGAAAGTCATGTTTTGTTATACAAGACCACAATGAAACTAAATTAAATGATGAAGCAATAAAGACCTAGTTTTGCTGTCTCGAAGCAAAATACAGTCAAACAAAAACATGACGTCACTGTAAATAAATATTTTGTTACTATTGTTGTATGCTTGAACATCTTTATGAATCAGTGTGCAAAAACTTTCTAAATTGCTCTATTACATCAATACTCGTTCAAGCAAAATATTTCTATTTATAACAGATACTTTCGCCGCCTTGTTTGCTGAAAGCACCATGCAAATCCCAGAAACTGTACAGCAGAAGCAGGACAAATCCAATCACATCCTGCTTTAAAAAAGGATTTACTACAGATCAGTGTTCACCCTGGCATGGCATGCTCTATTACCTGCATTAGCTTGCTTGTAAAATCTGTCTTCTAAATGCTGAAGACAATTAGAACAATAGACATGAAAACATAACGGGCTCATTGAGCAGCCTGAGCCATGCTGTGACACGGCATAGCGTTCGCCATTTTGGATATGACAGATCTGCCAAAAAAGCTAATCCAAGTAAACTGACCGAACTTGACAAGATGCCATTTGACAAAGTATTTTACATTCTCTCACACACCCTGATTTAATGGGATGTGTGAGGAAGCACCAACACACTAACCACAGTGTTTCTAACATTTTGATGCAATTATTTAATTGATTTGAGGGCTTTCTGAATGAAGAGCATGTTTACATTTGATACTACTGATTCTGATACATTGTTTTTACATTGATATTGATGAACACACACACACCTGGAGGTGTGCATTCATGAACATATTTACACAACTCCATAATTCTATGTGCTTTTGCCATTTCAACAACTTGATTTCTTTTGGTATTTTATTGTAAAGACAATGAGCTTTGATAAATCAGCTACATATTTTTCTGACATTTTTCAGGAAAAACAATTTTTGTTCTCGTATGATATTCTAACTCTGCTATGGACAGTTTAAACAATGTGTGAGAGTCGATACTTCTGGGCAATTTAGTGACATAAGAAATATTTCCTGGTTGTTTAGATGCCAGTTTCTGTCCAGAGATCAAGAAATTCTCCTTGTAAAATTATGTTATTATTTTCTTTCATCCTTGCCTGTGAAACGTCATGCCAACGGATCTGGTTGGTAAAACGGTTGAAACAAGGCCACACAGCACATGAATTGGGACCTTTTATCACTCCACTGGCAAATTCAAGAAAGTAATAACTCAACGTTCAATGAGGCGTCTAATCATGTGTATGATCAGAACCATCTGCAGCCTGGATTCAGACCCGCTATTCTTAAAGTTTGAATGAATATAAGGCTTCAGTGATCATGTTGACTCTCCAGAGCTGGAAATAATTTAGAACAAGTTCTTTTTGGAAACAGAACTTAGCCATAACCAGTGAAGGAAAAATGGTGGTCTCCTAACCCTAACCCTAACCCTAGTTCATAAGCGTTTCTCTTGCTGTTGCTGTGGGAGAGTCAGCTCTTTGGATCCAAAGCTCTCAGCTTTAAATAGTTTGCACCCAGAAAGACTAGCAGAACCCTCTCAGCTTTCAGTGACGACTCATCTATTTAAAGCTGCTCTGCACGTCAGTCATTGCTGCCATGGGAGCCACCAAATAATGATAAGATTTTCTCAACACTGTAGCCATGCACATGTTTCTGTGATTGAGCAGAAAATGAGAGCTGTGTAAGAGGAGTCAGCAATGTATTGCTTAACTGCATAAGAACCACATTTCCATGGACACAGATGTGAGTTCTTCTCTCAGTCTGATACTGTATAGCAGACTAAACCTTTACTTTATATCCAAAGGACCATAAATGCCTGAAGGGTCTAAATGCCAGAAGGTTACACACTAAAAGTGGTGCATATGCCTCTTACTGGTTAGTTGGTGCCCAGATGCTAATGTCATGACATTGTGAGCTTCTGATAGGTTCGTTTACAGCAGTCACAGGAAGGCACTGGTTGAGTCAGGAGGAAAGGCCCAAATTACTGTTAAAGGTTTCTGGAAGCTTAGGGCAGAGAGTTTGAGTTAAAACGAGGAACTGGATGGACATTTCTAGAACAATAAGGAATAAAATGGTCGACATTCATAAGCAAATGGAACAAATGGAAATCATTTTTTTGATCATAATTAAAACTGTAGAATTGATTTTATGTCAGTATATGGAAATGTGTGTAACACTGTAAATCTAACCATGTACTCTTTGTCATACAGGATTTGATCTCTCTGATGCTCTGGGACCAGGTGAGAGACTCTCTGTTTGAGCACATTAGTAATTTAGATGACTGATAGAATCATCAACTCTGCATATGCACTTTTATCCGTTTATCCGTAACACCAGTAAAACCCAAAGAGCAGTCAGAGTCTCCGAAGAAATCTGGAAGTGATGGTTTGTATCTTGGCACGCACCATCTCAGCTTGTGGATGCATTACTTCCTGTTCTTATTTCTGTTTCTGTGCATCTCACACAGAAACAGAAACAAGAACAGGAAGTAATGCATCCAATAAATGCTATCTATCTATCTATCTACATATATATACACAAGGTTTTGCAAAGCAAAGCAATGAAGGTTTTGCTTTCTGCTTAGATGAAGGGAAATGTTAATTCAGAGCAATGTTGCAGGAAACACTAGTTCTGTCTAACGTTGTGTTGCTGATGGTGAGACATCTGATGGTCTCATTTGTTCATCATTGTTTGGTTGAGGTATTGCATGTTATGATAGTTGTTCCTTCTGGTTTTAGATGCTGTGTCGTTGGAAGGATTTTTGTCAGTTCTTATGATAATTATGGCAAAAATGTATTGTTTTATTTTGAATCAAACTGAATTCAGCTTTTAGCTTAGTCAGCTTCTCCTATTGACACTTTGCAACTATGTCACTTAATCACACAAGGCACATGACGGACACGGACACTGAGGGACGAGGTCGTTGAACTGAGCCAATGAGATTGTTTGGCCGCTTTGCAAACTCCAGTCAGTAGAGTGTCAAATTGCATTGTGGCCAGGTTTTCAGATTCCTGAGCAGCATTATCTTTTTAAATAGTTCAGATTTGCTCTAGAAAAAGAAAATCAACCCCCAGCCCTTAACTCCTAACTCTAGTCCTCAGTAAGTGTTTTTGTTCCCAGATCCAGTCTGGATTATGTCTCCACAGTGTTTCCACAGATTTCTGAAGGACTATTAAAGAGTGTGAATGATTTTGGATAGTGAGTGTGACCTGCTGTGTGTGTCTGAGAAGCTACAGAAGTAATACTTCAGAATACTCACACACAGGCTGACATTTGTTCAAGGAAAGGGTGGTGAGGCAAGAAAACCACAGATATACCAGCCTCTCTCTTCTGCACATTATGACCTAGATGTTGTCACAACAGGTTGCTATGACTACCCTTTCATAAATGAAACCACGTGCACTTCTTCATGTAGCTGCAAGGCGTGACGCGTCATCCTGTAGAGAACTCATCTTGTTAAAGCTGAATCAAGGTTTCTGATTGGACAGAAGAACGACCCAATATGGCTGGACGTGGTTTTGTTTTTCTGAACGCTGCAGAACATGTGGACCCAATCATGCAGTGGCTGAGTTTGCTGAACATGTTTTACTGAGAGTACAGTCAGAAGTCATCAGACAAGTTTGAAACTGGACTTTATTTTACCTGAATGCTCAGGTTGCATGAAGTATGTGTTTTTCAGAATGACTGAAAGGCGTTTTGTGCTGCAGGATGAATCTGTTTCCAGATTCAGGTTGTGACAGGTTGTGTGATCACATAGAAAAATCCCTGCAATGTTAATAGTTCTCCTGTCCTCAGGTGGGCTGGACCTCTCCAAAGGTCCAGCCCACCAGGTAAGACACAAATCTGCTTCCCAGAAACTTTCCTAACACCCGTCCAACAATGGATTCATTACCTTTAGCCATTTATTAGGTCATTATTAACTTCTGTTTTTATTTGTATAGATCCAACACCTGCACCCAAAAAGCCAAGTTCTGGAGATTCTGGTAGGCTCGGGTTTCATTTCTCTACACTTACTGCGTGTCGACAGCTGAAAGCTAAACTGGAACCAGGTCTTACCTGTTTACATGTTGGCAAAGTGTCCTGATGGGTGTGTGTTCTGCTGCAGGTGGCTTTGGGTTCGACCTGGAAGACGCTCTCAAACCAGGTAGACCATGAAAAAATCCTGACACACCTGGAGCTTTCCCACATTTACAGATTCTTGGGGGAGAAAAGAGATGAGATGGAGAATCTTTCATATTTAGAATCACTACTGTACATCAAGGCAACTGTTGTATGAAGTCAGTTGTCTTTGTTGCAGTTGCTGGACAAAAATCACATCAATTTGCTCTCAGTGTCATGTCATCTGTCTCTTCTTGTCTCAAACGAACATTAACATTTAAAACTGAATCCTCGTTCCAGAATCATTTCCTTTTGTGATAGACTTCCCTTCTCTAACTTTATGATATGTGTACAGCCTTAAACCAAATACGTTGTTTCTCAACAGTTATATGTTAAACCATTGACCAATCATGTTACTTCGTGGATGTCTGCAGTTCTGGACCTTTCGACAGGAATAACAGTCAATTAAAGCTGTTATTCCTTGATTTCATTGATTGTTTTTTTATGACATTTGATATTAATACTTTTGTTTTCAATGTACCATTTCAACTTTATTTGTACCTACAGCTGAAGTGCTGCATGTTCGTCTTCAGATCATTATCTTATGTTGTAGCTAATATCGCACAATTGATACATAAAACAAATGAAAAAATATCTTTATTGGTCTAAACACAATTCTTAAAACAGACTAAATTCACTTTCTAGAGCTAAAAACAGCTTTTAAGAAATCCATGATTGTTACCTTCACATACTTTGTTAAAGGATGCTTTCCTTCTATATGGTCACATGATGAAGGTTTTTCACTGTTTCCTAGAAACGAGTAGTGGCTCAACTTATCCAGTCATAAAAATATTGAAGTATTCCCCATCAACTCCCACGGTGGGACAGATATTTGGCTCTTCCTCTCATTGCTGGCTTATTCAGATCTTGATGACCCTCTTGTCTCTGCAGGCCCCACTGAGAAACCAAGGAACCCTGGGTACAATCCAAGTGGTGGAGGTGAGCGGACATTAGATCCAGCTGGCTGGTGTAGCAGCCTTATCTACTCACTGTGGTTCAGAACTAGAGCCGTGAAGCCGAGTTCACACAAAGCAAAGACTAAAAGACCAATATGAGCCTTGGAAACGTAGACGTGTCCTGAACTCAAGCATGGACCTGAACTGCTCTGTTTTCCTTCCAGGAGGAGGAAGTTTTGATGATTCTGACCTGGGGGATGTTAGCAAGGATGGTTACAAGCCTGATGATTCAGGTAGGACCACATGAATGTCTACCGGCTTGAGAAGCTGATAGTGGATGATCTGCTGTGGTTTGAGGATCTCATGCTTCCAGCCTGGTTTTACCATGTGGACTGATGGTCCAAGGCTGGAGATGAGCATTTCTGTGAGATTTGGTACCATGTGTGGCAGTGACACAACTGAAACAACATTTTGACATATAAAGAGAATAAAGAGACAAACACAATTATTCTCACACACCCAGAACAAAGTTTTAATTCAGGATTCAGATGAAATGGTAGAAATGTCCTAAAAGCAAAACCTGATATTCCCATGATCCCAGTCAAGGTGCCGCCTCTTCCTTCCATATGCTATTTGCCTATCGGCACAAAATGCCAGAAGGAGCATTGATAGTTCTGTTAGTGCTAAGACATGATAATAATTCAATTCAAAAATGCTTTATTGATCCCAAAGGGAAATCAAATGTTGTAACTCATTAATTCAAAGTCTTCTAGGAGTTATTGCACGGTTCTCTTGTATCTGCATTACAGATACCAGAAGCCTCTGGTCAGGGCTGTTCATAACTTTCTTGATTTTATGAAGAATCCTTTCTTGTATAATCCTCTCCAGAATAATCCCTAAAATAGAACCAGAACAGAACCAGAGCAGAACCAGCCATCTTTATCAGGCTGTTGACCATTTTTAGGTCCCTGGTTCTGGTACCAGTGCCCCAATAGTAGATGACAGATTACATGATTCTCTCAACAACAGACTGACAGATAATCTGCAGCATCTGGCTGCAAACCTTGAAGGATCTTAGCTTCCTCAAGAAGTCCAGTCTGCTCTGTCCCTTCTTATAGACGCTTCACTGTTGTGTCTCCAGTCCAGTCCGTTGTCCAGATGAACACCAAGATATTTATATTCCTCAACCACTTCCACTTCTTTTCCCGTGATGGAAACAGGGTTGATCTAATCCTGTTTCTCTGGAAATCATCAATCATCTCCTTTGTTTTGTTCACATTTAAGATGAGTTGATTGTTTCCACACCAATCAACACAAAGCGATCCACCAGCTCTCGGTACTCAGCCTCTTGTCCATCTCTGACACACCTGCAGAGTCATCTTAATATTTTTATAGATGACAGAAGCCAGACTTGTGGAAGGAGTTTGAAGTGTAGAGTGAAAAGGAACGCTGAGAGAACAGGGCCCTGTGGTGCTCCTGTGTAGCTGATCAGCTGGTTGGACACACAGTCCTTCAGTGTCACAAACTGTGGTCTGTCTGTCAGGTAGTTATAGATCAATCTAAAGTGCAAACTTTAGTTTTCTCAAAGAAAACAAAACAGCTTAACTTTTGCTTCTTCCTTTCATCCAGAAGCTAAAAATCTCTAACTTGATAAACTTTACTTCTTCTGCATTCAGGCCGTGCAGTGAACCCTGGCTATGATGACCAAGGTAAGTTCCTGTGCTTCTGCTTTGGTTTGTACCACAGTTCTGCTCTTTAGCGCTGATGCTATCAGCTGTAACACTGCTAGGTTTTGCTGAGATGACTGAGCAGGAATGTCAGTGCTGAAGATCACAATTGAAGAGTGAGATGTGAAACTTTTAAGCCACTCTATTTTACTTTGCTGCCAAGAGTCTGCTTTGATCAATAGTTCTCCAGGATGTAGTCTGTCTGCCGGATCATCAGACATCATCAGAGGATGAATGACTTTTAGCATTTCACCATTTGGAAGCCTTTAGTCTTTATCTGATCATATTGACTTTCATTGAATGTGCTCTTACCTGAATATTATGGGTAGAACAACACAGACTGACTTGGTTTCTGGTTTTTTTCACAGGTGGAGCTGATAATTCTCAAGGTAAACCTCTTCTATAAATGAGTTGTAAACTGATCAAATCAGCATTTAGAAAGAGGAACCACTTATTGGATCATTTTTTGTCATAAAAAAAAGGAGCCCAGATAAAATCTGTGCTTCTTGAACTTCTGTAAAGGTTTAAGAACTTCTTTTTTTGAAGGTTTTATTGGCTCTAGTGCTCTTTATTTGATAGTGAATTGACAGAAAAATAAGTAATGAGAGAATAGGCAAGACACGGGGCCAAGATTACCAGGCTGGGAATTGAACCTGCAACAGCTGTATCCAGACCTAAGGCCTCTTTATGTGGGTTGTGGTTAACCCCTGCACCACCGCAGCACCTGCAAAGTTTAAGAACTTCTTCAACTTCTGCATTAAATTGATGTATTTTCTCTGATTTTAGGTGATACATCATCACAGTTAGCAGAAATTAATGCCTGGTTTTGACATATAGAATATGTAGCATGTAGATGTTCATTGAGTGTCTTTCACTCTGAGACCCCAAAATTAAAATAAATAAATAAATCAAGAAATCTAGCTTAGGCAGTTTTGCAGGAACTCCTGTTTAAACTCTTCAGAACTACCTAAACTTTAATTTATTCAAAAGAGAAATAAAATGTTGTAACTTATCATATCAGCAAAGTATTTTCAAAGCGTCGTTATGGATCCGGATGCTGGTGCTCTTTAAATCTCTGGGCTTATCGGCAGATAAATGTAGGAGTTGTAAGCAGCACCACAGTCCTTGAGAACAAGTCCTTGAGTCCTTGTTCTCAAGGACTGTGGTGCTGCTCTGTCCCCATGACGCCAGTGTGAGGGTGTGAATACTTTCATCAGGGTGTGAATTTGCTGAAACTCATACTTCTCCTCCCTAAACTTACTGAGTCTATAAGACGCTTGACCTTTTTATTTCCCCAAGTCTTGATGAGCTCCAGCAGCAGCCCCAGCAGAAGCTGCTGCGTTTTCATGCTGTTTTCTGCAGCACAGCATTATGTGCAGAAAAATTGCAGCGTGCAGCTGAGAGCTCCTTCTTCCTGCCTTTGTGTGTGTAAACTCTCTTTGGGCACCTTGATGGTTTCCTGTTGAATCTGTGTTTTCTGGAGTGTTTTTTGGGAGCTTCTTGTTTCTCTTCTAACAGGATATATTTAACAGCTTATTGTTTTCCTCACTCACCCAGAACAATGTTCTAATAGCTTCTCTGTGAAGGCTGAGCAGGAATCTTTGTGTATTAAGTCTGTTTGTCTGATTACCAGGCAGTGACTGTGAGTTGGTGGTTCCGTCTTAGTTTCATTCAGTTTTTCCTCCAGAGATGGAGGTGGTGTGAGGCTCAGTTCAGTTTGATGTTGCCAGCCCTGGTCTGGTTTGTCGTAGCTAAATCCCTGCTTCGATTGTGTGTCGTTGCAGATCCAGACCTTCTGTGGGGCCAAATCCTGAAGATGCTAAATGCTAACATGCCAGAGGAATTCTTTATGTGGATGTCCAACTTAATGAAAGTTTTAAACCCCCTGTTAGAGAGGGCTATGGAGCTCCTGCAGAATCTGCCATGAGCATTAGTTAGACCCACGCTGTTGGCTTGCAGAACCATCTCTGCTTCGGATCTGCAGTTGAAACCAGATGTTCACATACAACCAATAAAAAATACCAACAAATTTGTTTTTCACTGTTTGAAATTAAATCTGACTAAATTTTTCTTGCTGTAGTTTAGTTAGAATTAGTATCATTATTTCTATTTGCTAAGTGACAGAAAAGCTGGTGAGAACATTTTTTTAGAGATTTTTTTTTTCAAATTCAATAGTTTGCATACATTTTTATGGTCTTTTCAACTCCAGCAAAATGTTGTGAGTTTGTGGGAAGATACGGAAACGTTTCCCTCAAATTGTACATTTTAAAAGACCTGATGCTAAACAAACGTATGTAAACTTTTTAATTTGAGGAGAGTTGCAAAAATTTTCTAAATTTTAATGAAAGTTATAAACCCCCTGTTAAGTTTCGTGGCTGTTAGCAAATGGAAATAATGCTAATGCTAACTGGACCTAAAACAAGAAAAGTTTGGTGAGATGAAACTTCAGACAATGATAAAAATGAATGTGTTAGTTGATGTAAATATCTGGTTCCAGCTGTAGCTTGACTGCACTTTTCTTCTGTGATTTTTGTTGGGTTGTTTTTTCTGCGGTTAAAATGAGAAGTTCCTCTCAGATTTTGCTACAATAAGCTGCGTTATGTGCAACAGACATTTTCCTATCTGGCCACTGGGTTTTGGACTGTGGGACCGCCCTGCACTTTCATATATTTTTATCCCTTTCTTTATAGAGAGGATGTATTGTAAAAAAAGACAAAACAATCCTGACAATTTGGTGGGACTCAGACTTTGTTACATCTGTTTTGTTTTGAAAATAAACTAACCACTACTTGTGGTGTTAAATATGGTTATTCATGTATCAGGGTTTTGTTTTGATTTCCAGCTTTTGCAAACTGATTTTAGCTCATTTCTATTTCCAGAGTGAAATGTGAGACAAATGCTGATTCAGCAGAACTTTTAGCCCAGCAGCTGGGCCCTTTCTAACTTAAGTTAGAACTTTTTGTTTTTCCTTAACTTAAAGTTCAGTCCTACAAATGAAACCAGCTGCTTAGATCCATTAATAAGCTTTTATGTTGCTGCTCCTTCCTGTGGCTTCTAAAAGCAGAGGCTGTCTGGTGAAAACGTAGCTGACTATAAATGTGGCTTTTGTTTAGTTTATATGTTCTGCTGCCCTGGTTTCATGACTGAAATGCCTCATGTCTGCTGATCTGTTGCCTCACCTTGGATCCCTGTGAATTAGCAGCCTGAGCTCATTCTGATCATAGTCAGCGTTCAGACTGCTCATTTCTGTCTGCTTGATGTGTTCTCCTATGAACACGAATCAAGAGTTTCATCAAAGTTTTTGCACTTATACTTTGAATCTTGAATTCATTATTTTTGCAATAAAACATTGCTGTGGAATTTTCAGTTTGTTCCTTGACATTGCATAGTTCAAACATTTAATCCAGACAAACGTCTATGGATTTATGTCATTGATGGCAAGAGGTGATTAAGAACTGTATTGTGAAAAAAGGGATATTTTTCTTACAAGCCTGAAAAGTGTGGCATGCTAAAATTAGGTGTCCTGCTGGGAGGAATCTCTAGTTGTCGTCTGCAGCCTCCAACAAGTTTTCTTCCAGGATTTTCCATCCATCTATCACTTCTGACATGCATAGAAGTTTCCCCACAGCATGATAGCTCCTCAACAAAGCAATATTCAGGCCGAAAAGATCAAACTGTGTCTTGGCTGATTCCCTGATCGATGCTCTCAGTAGCTGTGTTCCCATCACAAAACTTTGTCAAATTCTGTTCCCATTAAATAAGAAAAATGAGAATTAAAATGCCACTTGAATAAATGTGGTCATCCATGCATCCATTTTCTGTTCATCCTCATCTCTAAAGGGGTCTGGAGTTGCTGCTGCCTCTCCAGCTACGTTCCGGGCGAGAGGCGGGTCACCTGGACAGGTTGCCAGTCTGTCGCAGGGCTAAATTTGGTCATGCAATAAGTAATTAAAAGGGAGTTTGAATACAATTACATGCCACAATTATCAGATATTTGGGAAATAACTTCACAGCGATGCAGATGAAATCCTGAAAGCTTCCACTTGATGAATGCGAATGTGTGTGGAAATGGCTGTAAATGAAACAAGGTTAAAACAATTTCCTGTTCTAAGGGTTTTTGTTGACAATGTAGCAATTACTGCAGATTTCCTATTACTATGGAGATGTTAAAAGACTAGAGAGCCATTCTGCAGCTGGGAGGGAGCAGCTATAACCAAGTTTTGCTCAAGATCCAGAACCAGACAGAACCCGCACAGGCGCTCGGTTTGTGTGGGAAATCTGGAGTTTATGCTGAGAGCAGATGCCGAAGGTTCCTCAGCAGTAAGTCATTCTGTAAGCTGCTCTGCTTTTCATGTGGGGGCAACTCCCTTTGTTAGCACAGAGAGTCATCACAAGACACGCATGACTCATGAGCGAGTCAAGGCCCTGCAGCCTGGTACTGCCCACTTCCTGTTTTTAGTACTATATTTACTTCCCTCTTGTGGATAATATGTGTCACTGCTAGAATGAACTGACAAAAGAAAACGTTTAGTTGTGAAACTATATGTCACTTTTTCAATGAAGTTTAGAAGGTGAATATAATTCTTATCATGCTATCAGTTTCTTCAGTCCTTATTAAAGCAAAAATGAATAAATTATGTCAAATTATTCTAAGATGAATGGAATCTTAACAGAACATTTTTCTCTGCAGCAGGAGGTTCCGGACCTATTGCAGGAATCATTAGTGCTGTAGGTGTCGCTCTGGTTGGAGCTGCATCCAGTTACTTTGCTTATCAGAAGAAGAAGCTCTGCTTCAAGCTGCAGGGAGGTCAGTGGTCTCTGCATTTCTTCTGAACAGTCACACATAGTGGAAGCTGCTGGACCACAGCGACATTCTGGTTCTAATCCAGGTTTGACTTGTTCAGGTGCAGATCCAGAGAAAGGTCACCAAGGAGGTCAGTCCAACCCAGGAGACAACCAGAGTGAGTAACTGTGGATTTTCACATTGTCAAGAACTTCTAATGCAATATTGGTTCTGGAGTTCATATAGTGGTTTCCATCCACAAACACACCAACCTTCAATTATATATTATCCAGAAGGCCAAAGGTCATACTTCACAAAAGGTTTATATTTCATAATGCAACCAGTTTGCTTTGGTGTACTGATCTAATAAAGTTTAAGAAAATATACTTTTGAAAGGCAAAGATTGCTCTGGCAAATATGGACAACCAGCTTCTTTGTTTGGTATGTCACTGCAGAAACTGTGAAATAAACTGAACATAAATTAAAAAAAATATTTATTTACAATCAAATAATTACATATAATCTAGGATTATTTTAACAACTACTATAAATTCTACCCTTTAGTAATTAATTATGTAAAGAAACAAAAGAGGAATCTATCTGAGAAGAAATTGTCTATGAATGGGAGACAGTACAAAGGAGAATGTTTTCCTTGTGGCTTTGTTCTGGGTTTCTAAGACAAACCAACACAAATACATCCCATTACAGCTGAGAAAACAAAATCTAAACGAAAAACTAAAACTGCTAAATTCCCTGACTGGCCAAAAAAACAGGAAAGAAATGAGTTCAAGGAAACTTTAAACACTAACATGCAAAACATGCAAAATTTATAAAAACAGCATACAGTCAACAACTAAGAAACCAGAAACAAACATTACATATGAAGAGAGCCATCATCAAAATCATCAATACACTTCAAATATGTTGGTCAAGGTTCCAGTTATTATGGTCCAAAAGCAACTCTGACCCGGTGGGTTCCAGTCAGCCATGTCAGAAAAATGCCCAGTGGAAAAAGTGACTCAGCACTGGAGCTCTGAGCTTCCCTGCAGTTCCCTGAGGAGGAGGAAGTGGCTCCAGGTGTGACAGCAGGCTTGCTAACAAAGAGAAGCAAAGGTTGTCCTCCAGCATGAGGACCCGGGGACTCAGTGGACAACACTGACCACAACACCAGAGTTTTGGATCTTTCCTGGAGAGATTTTGACCCAAACTATTGAGGTGCTCTGTGACATTTGCAGTTTGGCTGCATGTTTATGGATTCTTATTTACATTTTGTCTTGTTAGTTTGAATCAGTGTAACAGCTGTAAAACAGGATCAGGAATCAGGATCTGCTTGAGTTTATTCCTGTAAAACACAATGTGGGACACAGTCAAGCAGCTCAGGCGTCTGCATTGTGGGAGACGTTTCCTGCTTTTTATTCAGGAAAAAATTTGACTTCAAAGGACGTATTGATCCAAAAGCAACTTTTGATCTTTAGCATATCAGGGCCACATTAGCAGAATATCCCAAAAGGTTTTTCGGATCAGATGCTAATTGGCAACTGATCCAAAGCTGCTGGATCACAGCTTTCCAAAGTTTTGGTTACAATTATTCCACCTAAACCCAGAAACCTGCCTTGACACCAATGGCAAGAACCTGGAGGAAACTAACCAACTCGTCATCATGAAAGATTTGAAAACAGTTTGGATGTGAGCAGCCTGACACCTACTGGTGAGCAGTAGGTAGCCTTTGTGATTCATTTCTCTTTTTCCTTTTTGCTTTTCAGTTTTTAGTAACCTGCTCCGGAACAACTAGATGCTGAATCGGAACTTGATCCAACTTTTCAGCCAACAATCTTTGGTACAGAAAAGATCCACAAGTTCCACCAACGCCTGCAGAACAAAATGACAGCCAGCTTATCTTACTCTGAGCTTCAGCAACAGTCAGAATATAATTTTTTGTAATGATTTCAGGGCTTTATGTTGACGTGTTCTGACTTTATGTTACTCTTGTAAACTTCATTTTTGTCTTTTTCATGTTTGCTAAGCTGTTGGTTTGATGTAATGAGTCACAGCAGGAAATCTGTTTGCTGCAGTATCTTCCATAAAAACCTTGCACCCATCAGGAAAGGAGGCTTGTGGCGTTGGCTTCTGTTTATGTGGAGTATCTAAACTCACCTCCCTCAAAGATGAGGAAACAGAAGTAACCTGAACATTTATTATAACATGATATAACACCTGAACATGATGTGTGACTCATTGAAAGGTTTGCAGTTTCACAGGACACTGATCATAAGTGTTTTATGCAGCTTGGTGGGAATCCCACTGAAGGAGCTTTAATGTAAACTGATTGTCGTGTAACCAAAGGCTGAATGAAAATGCAAATAGTAAATGTACAGAATTGAATTCTGTATGTGAGGGACCTTTAGAAAAGCACAGAGCTCTGCACTGTTCTACAGAAGCATTTAGCTGTTAGAGCTGGACTTTAAGTAAAGCTGCAGTATCTGCATATAACAAGAAACTTTCTGGTTATAATGACAAATAAGTCTTATTCCTCAAAGTGTTGTTTTGTTGTTACGATCTTGTATCTAAAAGGCTGGAAACTTTCTTGTTGTGACGAGATGCTACTGCTTTATTTCCTGGCTGTGGAAGTGAATTATTTCTGAACTGTTTGAAACGACCAGCCCTAGTTGTAATGCTGCACTCTCCGTTTAGTTTAGTTTTTCTTTTCTAAACCGTTTTCACTGTTTCCTGGTGGATTTTAAACACACCAAACTAGATGTGTAGAGTAGCTGCTTGGTTAAGCTGACTAACTAGCTGCTAACATGTTAATAGCCAGACTAACTAGCAGCCAGTTAGCTACTCGCTAACATTTTAGCTGCAACAAAGACATAATGCTAAAGGCCATTTTTAGGGGATTGTTTTCTTGTTTTTTAGTTGAAAAATTAAGTACAGACACCTAAAAAAATGTTTTTTTATCTAACAGTTGGGTATTTTTTTTATTAAGCTTTTCATATAAGATATAAATGCTTTAGCTTTTAGGTCGTCCTTTTTGGTTCTGCTGATTTATATGAAACATTGATGTTCGCTGAGGTTCTGCTTCCTTGTTGAATCTTATTGCTTCTCTTTTGGTTGAGCAGTTGCTGCTGTCTGTGTTTGGTGCCTTGTAATCTGATAGTGAAGGACGTGATGTTGCAGAACGTCTTCATTATGAAATAGAAAAACAAGCTGCATCTCTATGTGCTGTAAATAATCCACTCCTTTAGATTTGAGTTCTATGACTTGTTCTGTCAGCTAAACCATCAGTTTAAAGTGTTTTGTTATTTTAAACTTATGTCTGTTTTACCTACATTGACATTGTGCAGGTCTGTTACTGGAATACAAAATGCATGATGTGTCATAGGATTTCTGGTGTGTACATGTTTTTAATAAAGTGTTATTATACACTATTTTAGTGTTGTTTACTTCTGTTAGTACAAGCCCAAAATACTCCTAGTTTTACTTTATTGAGATGATCTGTGTGTTTTAGCCACAATGAAACTTTTTCACTCTCAAAATAAAAAAAACATATATTTAAGGGCTTCAGTAATTTTGTGATATCTTTTTACAGTGCCCTACAAAATATGAATGTCATTTATTTATCTGGGAGTGACAGATCATCACAAAGTAATACATTACTTTGAAGTAGAAGAAAAATAATACAAACACATTTTTTTTGCCCTAATATTTTTAAAAATATGGAATGTATTTACTACTGGCTGTAGTTGTTTTGTAAGAGCTTTGTTGGAACATTAGTCATGAACGTGTGATGATTCTCTTCAGCAGGTACAGGGCAGCTGATGAATGAATCCAAACACAGGATTTGTATTCGTCTTGAAAAGTCTAGAATTTGATTTCCATATTTTCCAGGTCCAATGTGTAAAAAAGAAAGTAAAGCATGAAATAGTTTTCTATTTTTTTCTTTTACTTCCTATCCAGTTGTCAGAAATGTATCCGTCCTTTATTCCTGTCTGTCTTTTTCTAGCTTCCTTAAATCAATCTGAAAGAACTATACTCAACAGAGTCGAGGGAAAAGCCACAATACCTGAAATATTTAAGTGTAACACAGGAGAACTCGGTGGAAGTCGTGTCTTATTGGCCAGATTTAAATGACAGATCTGTCTGTGAGGTTTTGCTGTCTGAGCAAGTTTAGTTATTTAGTTGGCTTTCCAACAGCAGCTGTCATCATGTGCTGCAGTTTGTTAAAGCTGTGTAGAGTAAGTTCTAGCTATAAATACTCATTGAGTCAAAGAGCATTTATATCTTCAGAGAAAGGTCAGAGGTAAAAAACACCATGGCTATTTAAACTGTACAATAACCTAATGTGTTTTGTTTAATTGGGAAATACAAATAAAAAAAATACTGTATTAACTCAAAAAGAAAAAATAAATATCTAAACCCATTTTATCCAAGTTTCTTCAAAGAGTTGTTGCAGATGCTGATGGCTGTAGAAAGAAGGATTCCTTTAGCAGTCTGTATTACAGTGGTTCTGAAGAAACCTCTGACTGAAGACTCAGTTGCTGTGTATCTGGCAGTAAGAGGATACATAAGGTTGTCAATAAATAATTGTCCTTATGCGGAAAATGAAATTGATCTGTATCCAAATAACTGTACAGGAAACTGACATCAGCCCTAACACACCGTCCCCACTGTGAGCCACGGTGAAGGCAGAATCATGCTGTGGAAATGAAGGAACAGAGAAACTGCTCAGTTTGAGGAGAAGGCAGTGGAGCCAAACCCCTGCAGATCATTCCCTTCAAAGAAATGGCTGAGCTTGAAGCACATTCATGTGTTGAATGGCTGAGTCAAAATCCAGGACAGAGAAGGTTATGAAAGTGGCTTTTTATGCAATCTGGAGGAAGATTCCCACAAAATTGGGATTTTTAATGTAATAAAACGAGAAAAGGTTCAAGAGGAATAAATTCTGTTGCAAGTCAGTGAATGTTTGAGACTCATGCATTGCAGTGGTTTTAGGTTATTTACACTTGGCTGATGTGGAAAGTGTAAAGCAATGCTGTCCTGAGTGGGTTATCAGCAGAGTAAGAGATTGTGCTGTTGCACAATCCTTATTGCCACGCCCCCTTTCCTGCTAGTTGAATGACCAGTTGGACAAACACATCAGAGGATGGAAGCAGCAAGGCATCTGCTTCCTGATTTACTCCACCATTAAAGCAGACTGAGGTGTGACTCCACATCACAGCTGCAGATTTATGCTCACAGTGAGGATTTAGGAAGCGTGCCAGATCCAGCTGGTGCTCTGGTGCACCCTCACCATCGACTGTTCTGATGTCACCGCTGATGACCGGCAGCATGCAGGCGTAGTTTGCTCCTCACCTCTCCTGTGGAAAAGTAAACCTACAGGATTTGGAACTGACTGAAGAGAAGAAATGTCAGGTAGGAACATACTTTTCATATAAATAATGGGATCTATGGATCTGATTTAAAGACAGATTCTCCAAATATCCTCCTGCTGTAGGGTTCAGTATGTTTCAAGATGCACAAATAAATAAAATGCTTTGATAAGCTGCTGCATGTTTTCTGCTCACTGCTCTTTCGCTCCAACTGTGAATGTCTCTCTGTGATGTTGAATTATTAACAATATGACGGGCTAGCTTGTTTGAAATGAGAACAGACTCTCTGCTTCTTCTGGTTCCAATCAAAAAGGGAACCAAGTGAAATCTAACACTGTCCTCAGACATAAGGTTACATACCTCCATATCAAGCAGCAGGCCATGATTATGGAGCTGCAGCCACACACCTGCTACAGCTGGTCCATAATCGAACAACAGAGAGAAACTCAAAACAATCCATAGAGTTTAGTTCCTTTATATATTTAATGGATAAACCTTCACATATCTGCACTATTGATTCTTTTGTCTCCATTCTGTGTGCAGCTGGTGAGGCTTTTGTCACCCTGGCCACCTCAGACTCCTACTGCCAGGGGGCGGCAGTGCTGGCCAGAAGTTTGCGACGGCATGGAACAACTCGCCGCATAGTCGTCATGGTGACCCCAAACATCCCTGAACACTCAAGGTTAGAGACTCATTTCTCTCTGTCATTGAGATCCAATAATTATTCTGTAAATGTCCAAGATAAAGTCAAATCTATTGTAGGATTCAATACGAGAAATACCACACTTTCCCAATTTCAAAACAGAAAATAATAATAATATTAAAAAAAACTTTAAAATCGCCTTTTCTGAGCGTCTTGCCAAAAACATTCAGCTGTGCAAAATGCCAGGGAGGCCTTCACCGATATAGATCCTCCTTGGAGCTGCAGTTTCCAAATTTCCGGCCTCACAGCAGCCCTTGCCCACAACTCTTCTACTCAGCTCCTTCAGACTAGCCAGAAGCGATTAGCAAACACTTGGTGGAGCTGCACATCAGCTGAGCTAGATGAGTTACAAGTGAAAACATTTTTAAAGGTTTAATGTAGGAGCAATGTTATAGTGACTTCCTGAAGGCATCATAACAGAAAGAGCAAGAGTTTCTTAAAGACACAGAGGCACAATATCAAAGTGTTAAATTACAAAGTAAAATTTGTATATATGCATATATACATAAAAGTACAGCCTTAAGTTGTACTTGATTGTGCTATAAAAAAGGCACTATATGTCTGAAAATAACATAATGTTATCCCTTTAAAGAAATAAAAAAAAAATTGCAGTGAATCTTATTATTCCTTGGATATGAAACAGAGCCGTTAGGTCTACTCACTGAGTTTGGTAACGCATTGTGTTTTTAGAAATTAAAGAACAAAATAAATGTATACCTTTGAACCAGACAGGCCAAGTAATTCAAATAGTACTTTCCAATGAGTTACAATTTACTTTCTGACTAACTGAACTCCGTTTGAGCAGAAAAGTCCTTGAGAACGTCTTTGATGAGGTCATCACTGTGGATGTGAAGAACAGCGAGGACCAACTCCATCTGTCCATGCTGGGTCGTCCTGAGCTTGGTGTCACCTTCACTAAACTCCACTGCTGGAATCTGACTCAGTACAACAAATGTGTCTTCCTGGATGCTGATACACTGGTGAGTTTAAGAAGAATATTCCACTTCAGGTGGTCCAGTCTGCCTTGTGTTTTGCTGGTGCATGAAAAGTTGGAAGACTTTCTGGAGGAATCCTCTCCCCGGTAGAGGGATGAAGATAAAGGGCGGCACCACTAGGGAGAGCAGGCACATACACCCTGGTACACTGATACAACTTTTCTTGTTCTTCTGTACAATATCAATAAAAGCACTGAATCTGATATCTAAGATATCACCCTGGATCATCCCCATAACACAGTCTTGGATAAGCAAGAGATGATGGTTGCATGATGGATAGATTAACAAGTGTCACAATTCTATTCACATCACATGGCTTCAGAAAATGAGATCTGTTTAATCTAGTCATACAAACAGATTTCAAGTCAAGTAGATCAATTTCAATTGATCCTGGTTACAGAACAATGTAGTTGGGTCATGAGTCAACACACATCAATCTGGCTGTCTTCATTTATTTCTCTTCTGACCTCCTAACCTCCTGTTTATCTCCGACAATGTGAACCCTGACATGTTCAGCTGGACTTTGTTCTTGTGATTTCTCGGCCTGTGAAGTCAGTGAAAATTCGTGCTGCAGGCTGTAGGCATGTTTAAAGGCCAAGCTGAGTAAATACAAGGTCCCTGAGGTCATACATGGACATGCAATGTTTAGTGTGGTCAGTAATATTTGTGTCTGCTTTGAAGTGGCTGAGTCCAGCCAGCATGTCCTGCGTCTTGGTCTGGGACGTGGGACGTGTCCAGAAGGCATCATAAACTGATACGTTTCTTCTAATAACTTAACTATATAAACTCAACAGAACCTCAGTGGAATGTGACTTAGTTCATTAGACATTTTTCCCAAGAACACAGTGAGATCAATGCGCTGATAATGGTGTTCTTCCGCATGGAACACAAAATAGTGCCATTGAATAATGTATTGTTTTATTACATACATAACATAAACCTCAACTGATTCCTCTTGACGTGAAAAAGCAGCAGTGGAGGAAACACATTTCAGACAATCTGCCTATCAATCTCCTTTTCCATTTCCCCTCATTCATGATCAAGACCTTAACATACATAATCTTCTCCACATGGGGCAGGACGCCTTCCTGGACCCTGAGAAGGTACTCTACCCTTCTCTGGCTCTACACCATGGCCTTGATTTGGGGGCATTGGTCCTCATTCCAGTTGCCTCACACTCAGAGAACACAACCCGATGAAGCCAACAGGCCACATCATATGCAAAAATCAGACGTGATTGTAAGGCCACAGAATCATAACCTAACCCACAGAAAGAGATCCTCTCAACACCTGAGCTGTGCCCAGAAATTCTCTCCATAAATGTTATAAACAGAAATGCCCCCGATGTCCACTCAACACAACTCTACAACAGCTTAAGGAACGCCAGGAGAATCTCATCCATCCATCCATCCATCCATTCATCCATCCATCCATCCATCCATCCATCCATCCATCCATCCATCCATTCATTCATTCATCCATTCATTCATTCATTCATTCATTCATTCATTCATTCATTCATTCATTCATTCATCCATCCATCCATCCATTCATTCATTCATTCATTCATTCATTCATTCATTCATTCATTCATTCATTCATTCATCCCCTGGGCTTTACCATCAAGGAGCTTTTTAATCTCATTAACAGAGAATCTGGAATCTAGCTAACAGCTTCGGTCCAACAGTTTTTACTCAGTTATGAATGAAACCATAGAGTAACATTTTTTTTATTTCTCCATACTGTCCCTCCTCAGGTCCTGTGTAATGTGGACGAGTTGTTCCAACGGGACGAGTTGTCGGCTGCTCCTGACCCTGGGTGGCCCGACTGCTTTAATTCTGGCGTATTTGTCTTCAGACCGTCCAAGATCACCTACACCAGCCTGCTGGATCACGCCCTGCAACACGGCAGCTTTGATGGTAATACATCACAATATGTTTGGGCTGCAGGCAAGAAAAAAGCCAAAGGCTGATTGCTTTGAGGACTGACGTCTCAACTGAATACGCTGATGTAAAGTCAAGGGAGATCTTATAAAGTAACATGATTCATTCATTGCTTAAATGCACACTTTGATATCTTACCAGATTTTCCATCAGTCTATCAGTGTTGTAATAAACCTGGATTTGTTTCAGTCAGCTGGGAGTGAGATTAATGTGATATAAACCCTGACAGCTGAGATTCCTTCTTTTTTTTTTAACCCTAAATCAATATGTCAAGTAAGAACAAATTTATATTTTACTAATTTCTTTTTCTTATATATTATCAGGGGGAGATCAGGGCCTCCTAAACTCATTCTTCAGCAGTTGGAGTGTGGAAGACATCAGTAAACACCTGCCATTCATCTACAACCTGTGTGCCAGCTCTGTGTACACCTACCTCCCTGCTTTCCAACAGTGAGTGTGTCGGCAACAAACTTGACTGTTATAAAACTCCCCTGGTAGCGAAGACGGTTTTGGCCATAATTTAATGTTTTCTTGATGTATGGAAATCATTTCAGATTCATTTCAGATACATCTGAACATAATATATCTGTACAATGGCTGCTGGAAAATGCAAGCGTTTTAATGTTGTCTTACCATTCAGGTAAGACAGGACGCTCAATTTTTGCTTTTCAAAGATGTACATATGTGCAGTTGCACAACTATGGCAATGTGAATGTTGAGTTGGGGGCGTGGCCAGTAGCTTATTTGGATTTAAAGTGACAAGAGCCTTATTCTGGAAGGAGATCAAAATTGACAGAACAGATGACATTAAAATCTTATTAAATAATAAAAAAAGAATGATTTTTAACACAATTTTTATTACTTAGAGACTTCCTGTTCAATGAAGCTTAACATCCCAACTGGATGCTATTGCAATAATTTATATTAATTTAAATTACAAGTTTTTAAAACCCAAACAGTAAATATTATTAGAAATGACCAAAAATGTCATGTTTTATTAGTTTCAGGTAGAAGATCCTCAAAATGTACAGATGTATACAAGATAAATAGGATTGAAAACATCCATCTATATGTATTGAGTTATTGAAATACATATAGTTTTAAGCAATGACAAAGCGAGTGGGGATGTGATGATGCTGCTCTCATCAGTTGTAACAAAACTTTAGTATTTCTTTCTTTCAGTGCAGCCTGAACTTTAAGTGATTGTGAAAATAGGAAAAATTGACTTCTGGCTAACTGTGACTGCAATCTGCTACTCACTGACTAATGTATTGAACATGTTGCTGTTCTTCCTGCAGGTTCGGCCACCAGGCAAAGATAGTCCATTTTGCAGGAGCTGTGAAGCCGTGGAGCCCACAGAGGGACGGCTGCCTCTCACAGAGTATGGAGCAGTTTGAGTCTCTGTGGTGGAAGGAATATCACAGTCACACATCACCTGCTCCAGACACTCAGCCCACTCCAAGAACACCCAAACAACCGGTACTGAAATTGTTTACTGTTTTATTGCTCAGCTCTTTTCTTTTATGCATTTGGCCCATTTCTTTATGTTTGCAATGTTTCCATTTAATAAGAAACACAATTATGCGCCAAGTTCAAAAACATGCCGTGTCTTCAGATCTGTCGTCTTCTTTGTCTTTTCTGCCACTACGACTGAACGACATTCGGTTGTTGAAAAAATTTTAATTTCAATATAACAGTGAAGCCACTTCGTCCAGCACAAAAACCTTTCCGCAAAAAACTTGAGTCTCTTCAAAATTGCTGTTTTCCCATTAAGAAAATGTATTTCTTTAGTAATTACAATTTGAGCAATTTTAAGGTGAATGGAAACACAGCTGCTGAAACACTGAGACATGCTGAGGAGGATGCAGCATGCGCTGGAGGTTCAGCTTCCATCCTCAACAGATTCTCTTTTCAATGTTTGCTGTAAAATACTGTCTGAGAATCTCATAGGCATTTTCATATTTCATTCCACTTCACAATGAAACTACATGTCTTGTGACTGTAAAACATATTCATAAAGGTAATATTCAGAACAGTCAGTAGTAGAGGTGATTGTATGAAAAGTCAGTGGACTCAGACTGTTTTGGTTTTCTTTGGCTGGCAGATTTCTACCCCTAAACTCTGCAGAGTTTCTCCACTGAGGCTGCAGTGAACATCCAGAGTGGCAGAGAACTCAGAAACATGACTGTCAGTTTGGATGCCAACATGATGTTACAACAAGCTTTCTTTGTTCTGCAGATCCAAGAACAAGAGGTCAAAATGCCATTTACAGGAAACTTGGACAGCTCCAGTTCACTGCTTGCACATTTTTCTCCATCCTCCAACAGTCTTCACTCACACTCTGAAGAAATGATGGTAAGATTCACTGAATCAAGACTTAAATCTGATTTGACAACATCCACAGTCACTACATGTGGAGCTTTGACACATCTTGAACTGGTCACTCACAGATCATGCAGTTATTCAAAACTATCAAAGCTCCTATTAAGTAAAAGGTGAACTTTAACCTTACTGACAATGTTCTAACAGGGCAGATGGTGGAACGGTTACATTTACAATAAGTTTTTAAAGCTCTTTGAGAGAAAACAACAACGAGACAAGCACTTTGAGTTTCTCTCATTTATGACAGATATTGTTTTTATCAAATATTTACCTGGTGGAGCATTACAGAAAAATCTGTATGTGTTTGTGAAAGTAAAACTGTCAGCTTCTTTTTGACACTCAAACAACAATGATTGCCATATCATTAAAAAACAGTACTTCTAAATGTCTCTTTGCTTTGAGTTGCTGACCTGCGAACAGCCAAAACTATGAAAACTGACACATAATTGAAAAGGTGTGAAAAACACGGGACTAAATCCTCCTGGGATGTTGGTAGAAAAGAGAGAATCCTAATGAGAGCACTTCATTTTCTTTGACTCTGTTTAATTTCATGCTCTTTCTGTGAGTAGTCATTAAAATATTTGTTGATAAAACTATTAATTAGCAGAATGAAAGAGCATATTAGCATAGCTACTTATATTTGGAATATTTCATGGTAATTATGATGGCTGCTTATTAGACAGGCCAAGTGGCTCTTGTTAGTTCCAGCAGATCAGAATCTCTGCTTCACTGCGTTTCCTACAATTTTCCAGCAGTAACACACAATCTGTTCTGAGCTGCATCACATTTCTGTCACTCTCAGTTCAGTTCAATTTCCATTTTATGTAAGATTTGTTCGATTTTAAGTGCACTGATTAGTAACACGGCTTCAATGTCTGAAGGTTCTTCACACAGACAGAACTCCAGTGCAGGAAGCACCAGTCCCGGAGAAAGAGTCTCCATCAACAGAGACAGCAGAGGTCAGTGACCCCTGTGGAGCTGGAGCTGAAGGGTCGGAGGACAGGAAAGGCGCTGCAGATGGAGACGCTCAGCCGGTATGGAAACTTATTTTACTTTCCAATATTTCCCAAGTGAAATCTTTCCAGACGGGTTACTGGACGTACAGGTCCATTTGATATCTTTGTATCTTTTCAACTCAACTCAATTCATTTCATTTCATTTCAGTTCAGTCAAGTTTAATCTAATCCATTTGAATTCAGTTCAATTCAACTCAAATCAATCCGGTTTCAGACATTTCCATCCATCCAATCATGGGGTCAGGAGGTGCTGGTGCCTCTCCAGTTTTGGGTGAGAGGCAGGGTCACCCTGCACTGGTCACTAGTCTGTCACAGGGCAACACAGAGACAGACAGGACAAGCAACCTTCCACACAGAGAATTTAGAGACAAATTAACCTGACAGTTGTGTTTTTGAACAGTGGGAGGAAGCTGGAGAACCTGGAGAGAACCCAGCATGCACAGGGAGAACATGCAAACCCCCCGCAGAAAGACCCCGGCTGGGAATCAAACCCAGAACCTTCTTGCTGCAAGGCAACATTGCTACCAACTGCACCACTGTGCAGCCCCAGTTAAATACTATTCATTTCAGTTCCATTCAATTCAATTATTCTCAGTTTAGTTCTTTCAGTTCAATTAAGTTGAATTCAGTTAAGATCAAATCATTTGAGTTGTGTTCAGTTCAGGTCAGTTGAATTGAAATCGATCATTTTGGGCGCAAATTGCGTTTATTAATCAATAAAGAAACAAAACTCAACCTGTCAAACAATCTTTTACTGTATTACTAATACAAAATCAGCTGTTTTTACTGTAATGTAGTACAAGTACAGACTGCCTGAATCAGGATGAATAATGAACCAGATGTATGAAATTAGACTAGCAGAGCTAATGACTGAAACGGAAGAAAGAAACAAAACGCTCTGATTCTCAGTTTTTATGAACTGAAAACACTGTATTGAGTTGAAAAGATTCTTTACTTCAGATTATTTTTTCCTGAAAACAACATGTACTTTTGCTCTAAGAAAAAGAAAACGGGACAAATAATAAGTCTCCACAATAGTTGTCTGTCAATAGTGGACTTTTTCTTCAAAACCACGCTGTTCTTTCAATCATAACAAGCCTATTGAAATAACCTGATTGTTGTTTCTGCCACTTTTCATTTCATCAGGCAGAAGAAAGAGAGGCAGAGCATCGCAGAATGTGGGAGTCAGGACAGGCGGACTACCTGGGCAGAGATGCTTTCCAGAACATCCAGAAGATGCTGGACCGCTTCCTCGACCCACAACATAAAACTTCTCTTCCTTAAACTGCACTATCACACTTGTCCACACTTTACACTCTTCCAGATCAGAACTTTAATTCATCTTATTAGGATTTTATGGGAGCCATCAATAGAAAGTTCTATTTTCATGGTTTTCCTTCAAAAACATGGAAAGTTGAGTATAATTTCCCTCCAGTTCCAGTGATGCAGGAACAATCATGTAAAATCACAATGAAATGTTTTAGTTTGGTTGCAATGGGAATAAATGTGGCATAGTTCAAGTCTGATGCTGATATGAGCTTTTCAATGCATAGAGAAGTCATGAAGTGTAAAATCACCAAACAGCCTAAATAATACAAACACTGTAGAGATTTTTTATGATCTTTTCATAAAAAAGATCATAAAAGAGATTTTTTATGATCTTCTCATTGAAAGTACAAAACCTTTTCCTTCCTGTAACGTCAGATGGACGTGGACACTGTGACTCATGTTTAAACTGTGTGATATGTTTTCCTGTTTGTGTTCTATTATGGATAAAAGTTCTCTGACGAAGCTGTGAAAACTCACTTAATCATTAATTACTTTTTTTTTTTACTTTGATCATGTTGTTTTCCGTGCATTTTGAAGGTTATATTTAGATTAAAGCCCTATACTTTTCAAAATAGCTTGTTTTGGGCTTATTCACACTAAGGGTCTTAGCAACAAAGGTTTTTTATGATCTGTTTTACAGTTAGATACAGTTAGAGATAACTTGCTGAGCAAGGTGGTGCTTAAAATAAGCATTTTCACTGTTTATTCATTTAATAGTTATGTTTAGCATACTGAATGTAAGACAACATGCTAGTGATGGCAGCATTTAGGCTAACACTAACATTTTAGCTCATTTTAGCTCAGACACTAATATTAACATACTGAATATTAGTCAATGCTTGTGACTCTCCACTTGTTATTTGGTGCATGTTACCTCAACTTAGCACTGATGCAAATGTTTAGCATCAGAATGTTGTGTTCCAACCAACAGGTACAATTGATAGATCCTGTTTACATTTATTCAGAGAATTCTATTCTATTCTATTCTATTCTATTCTATTCTATTCTATTCTATTCTATTCTATTCTATTCTATTCTATTCTATTCTAGAGAATAGAAGGAAATATTTTAAACTATACTAATGTATAGTTTTCTTGTCTTTGTTTTGGCTCTGAAACATGTTGAGTGGTGTTTGTATGAACGGTGCAGACTAAATCAATTTGTCCTGCTTTCAGCAAATTTTTATTGAAATTACCCAAAGCACAAAACCAACGCTTGAACAAGTGATGCCTGTCAGCAGGGGGCACTGTGGCTCTTCTAGCAAGCTTGCTCAATTATGACAGGCCATCAGTGAGGGTGTAATGCAGGTTATCAGGTGTCTGACTGCAGTCAACAAACTGCTGAGCAATCCTTATCTAATAGCAGCTCTGTGCATGTCATCTTCATGGACATTCCTCCTGAATTGTGTTGTCACGGTGATGGAGAGGAAGGACAAACTGCAGCAGAGCTTGCTGCAGGGAGACTGCTCTGACTGATCAAGATTAAAGTAGGACAGTTGATCCGAGATAAAGTGCTGCTTTCTTTTGACAGTGCTGCTTTCTTTTGACAGCCACTTTGATTAAGCTATGAGAGCTGAGCAGGAACTAAGGAACAGTCCCTGAAGGTACTAATGTCTGCAGCTCCTTTCATGTTGACCATTTCTACTGGACAGACCAGTCCAGCCAATAAGGCAGCAGCTTTAACTGTGTTAAAGTCCAAACTTCTTTAAAGTTTCTTTAAAACAATGACCAACATCAACTGTTGAATCCAGTTTACTCTGGATTCATTTAGAGATTTTTTATATGGATGAACATATTTATGTGTACATTCAAATAATTTTATTGATGTTATAAAAAATAAATAAAATTATTTTGTGTGTGTATATATATATATATATATAAGCCAATGCTTATTGTATATAACAATAACCAAATGGTTATTGTATATATATATACCATTTGGTTATTTTATATATGTATAAAATAACCAAATGGTGGCACAACAAAAACAATAAAATTCTTTAACATATGTGGGTTAGATGTAAATTTTTTCCCTTTAAGTTTTTTTCTGACTTCCAAATAATATTTCTTAATATTATTTGATTAATCTAGGATCACAGATATTTTGGGCAGAAGTGAAAAAGAGAGGGAGAGATAATAATAATAATAATAATAATAATAATAATAATAATAATAATAATAATAATCAGACTCTCATTTCCCCTGGTCTTTGTTTCCACAGTGGCAGTAATTCTCCGTTAATGAAATGATGTAAAATTATGGAGTATATTTCAATAAAATGTTCAAATTGATTCCTGTTTCATTAATATATGTTGTGTGAGAAAGTCTAGCCATTGAGGTACAAATTTTTTCCCTATTTTTTCAGGTGAGCTTATCGTTGTCTTGGTGAGAGCCAAGCAGCAGGTTTGGGTCTGTTTGGCGTTTAATGTTCAGTTCTTCTAGATTACTGAGGCAGAGGGGATGATGGGATGCTTGGCCAGAGATCTGAGACACTTTGGTGATTGGTCATCAGTGTGTGCAAATGTCTGATTGTGGAAGTCCCACGTCGAGCGTCTTGTGATGTGTGAGGTGAGCTCTCCAGATTATTTGATATTTTATGTTAAGGTATTTTTCCCATTTATTGATCAGAATAAAAATTGCTTTAAGACTTTATATTTTATATCATTTTGAGAGTGTTTTTGGCAACTTTGCTGTTTCATTGATATAGTCTAGTTGTCCAACGTTAGCGTTATTGATATCTAATAATGGCTTGTTATTGGTTATATTAATGAAACTGTTTCCGGTCAATGTTGTATTTATCAAAAAGCTGTTGAAAAGTTCAGAAGTTATCCTCATGGAAGACATGGTGTGTTGCTCTCAAATGAGAAGGAAATGGAGATGGTCAGAAAAACTCTAGATTTTGATTGAATAATCCAAGACATGGTTAGAAAGTTGATAAAAACATGAAAACACAACATAAAGAAAATTCATCTGTCATCAGCTGCCTGGACAGCAGCTCCCCTCTGACTTCTAATGCAGCTCCCACTTCTCATGCCACCTGACTCATTTCAGTTTTATTTATGAAAATTTGATTCAAACCATGTTTCATGTCAGGTCTGTAATGCATAATAAATGTTACTATGAGAGTTTTCACAGATTTAGAATCTTTCCTTCAGAGTTCCAAAAAGTTTTTCTGCTGTGATTTAAACTTGCCTTGAATGGATGATGAAAATTGGTGCAATGTCCAGTTCAAATGTTTAAGAAGGATTTTGTGAAATAAACCTTAAGAAGTTCAGTCTTTTCTTCACCACCGACTCAGATCTGAGATTGTCGCCCAGCTTGAGGAAGCTGCTGCTTTTTCTCTTTTCTGCTCTCAGATCTTTGCAGCATGCATGATGCATGGCTGTATGAATTACAAAGCATCAAGAAGCAAACTGTGAGACATCTTTAATAATTAGTGATGTGTGCTCTGACACCAAAGCAAAACACAAACTGTAAATTCATGTGCTTCTTTGATTCCACCATGCTAAGCTATGTGGTTTGTAATGGCCTGTGTTGCAGGCTGGTCATGTTTCTGGACCTGTGGACAGCAGAAGGCTTTTGTTCTAAAGACAATATGTCATAAATCAACATGTCATTTTACCTGCTAGTATCGCTCAGATTTAAAAATCATTTATTTTTAAATGATTGCCAACTTCTCAAGTTATCTTTATCAAACTGATGGTCAAAGAAGCAGCTGCAGCTGTAGAAAACTTGCTCACTCCTTTGAACATTTAAATAATGGTTTAGCTTTAAATATCACTGGAAATGTAAACCAAATATTTATAGTGTTTTACTGAATAAATGAAAAAATGTCCAAAAAGATGTTTATTGTGTCTTAAATCACTCACAATCATCTGAGATCCAGATCAGGAGCAGAATGCAGTTCTGCTTCAGCTCTTTTAGATGAGCCCACATTTCATAAGGTCCCTTTATAACTTTTGATATAAATCATGCTGGATTCAAAGAGCAGCTACTCAAAAAAAAGTTTGTGTTCTTGTTGATGACACTCACCTGTTTTCAGTTAATTCTTATTATTTTGAAGTCAGTGTTTTCTCCTCACTTTGGGTCACCACTTCATTCCTCTACCAGACAAAAACCTTGTTCAGCTTGTTTTCCATGCTTGTCATGAAAATATTGGCTGCCAGAGTTGCTGCTCGTGTGTCATGAAACCTTCTCTGCTTGTCAGGTTTAGCTAAGACTCAGTGGAGGAAAAGAGAGAAGCTGAAACAAAAGCATCTTGCAAATTATGATGTTCAAAGCAAAACACTTTGTGTTCAATGTGACGGAACATTTCCTTTCTTGTTCTTGAAACAAATGATAACAAATTTTAGTAGTGCAGTCATCATCAAGTCATATCACAGCAGAGAGCTACCATGCTAATGTCAGCCTAGCATAGCCAAAGACAACACATGAATATGTGTTGATCCAAACCATTTCATTGTAGCTATGGATACGTGTTTCATTGTAGCTATGGATACATGTTTATTATATCTATGGATACGTGTTTAGGGTCGTTGAACCTCCGTCTCAAATCTTCTGCAGCCTCTAACTGGGATTCTTCCAAGACTCTCTTGGATTTACCTCCATCAACTCCAACCAGCGTCTCTCCCCAAAGCATGACACTGCCAGCACCATGTTATGTCCTGGGCATACTGTGTTATACTGTGTTACAGGCAGACCTAAAATTGACATTTTTGAAGTTTCGTCCAATCAGAGCACCTTCATCCAGACTGGGTCTCAGCTTGAACTCCTAAAACAACAACAACAAACGTTCATCTGGGATGGATAATTTAGTAAACAGACATGAACAAGTAACATACACAATCACACAAGTTAGATTATCTGTGAGAAAACACAGCATTTTCTTTGTATTGCACAATGACTCATAGCTTTGTGTTGGTCAACACATAAAATCCCAATAAAGTCTAATGTGTTTTCGTGGTTTTGGAAAGGCGTCCGCTGTGACTTTCCGAGATATAACGTGATTGTGAGTCTGGAATGACTGTAGAGGAATCGCAGCATTTGTAAGTGATTGGAAAAAGACCTCTGCCTATCTCATGCCGTTGTTCTTATGCCATGCTCTGGCTGCGTTTAGTCGCATGCTGTGGAGACGGAGGGGAATGTGATAACCAGTGAGGAATCCTAAACTCCTCCATATGCTCTGAACTAAC